CTCTAAATAGCTTTAACTTTTATATTTATAATATTCACCTAAATTATTTACTGAGATCATATAATTTATAAATATGTTATTACAGAAATCAATTAATTGTAAAACATCTGCATATATAATGTCTATAATTCTTTCAACAATTCAATATAAAAATTAGCATTTATTCACCTATGTTACATATTTTGCAGTAATAAAATATTTAATTAGTTATTGATAATATATAAATAATCTCAAACATATTCAAAATAAATGACATTACATAGTGCAAATTAAAAAATTAAACTAATATAATACCTGATTTCTTCAGCCAATTCAGATGCACTCGTTATCAATAACCTGTTTTTAATTGGGGGAACTTTTTGCAAACTATATCTGTAAAACAGCCCATAAATGAAATCTACCAAAATATCAAATATGACATGAAGTCGAATTATTAAACATTTTAAAAAGATTTTTATAATTCCTTTTGACATTTCAAACATTGTCAAGCCCACGTTACTTTCCTAAAACATACAAAAACTTATTTAAATTATTTATTACTTATTTTTTCTTTAAATTTACTTAAACTTATGTATTATTTAATTTTTATTAAATAAACTCATTCGGTAATTAATTAAAAAAAAATATGAAAGTATACTTTTATGAATAAAAACAAGTTTATAACAAAAATTTAAGTTTTCGAAATTTAGCACGTATCCTTATCAAATATATAAATGAATAATTTCTGAATTATATGGGTTTCTGATATTTTTACTGAATTACACATGTTGTACGCAGCCTGTACATAATTGAATTGTACAATTTATACTCGTAGACGTATGTTATGCACTCAAATATTAAGTCAGCAATTTTCATGCATGTATAATATGCCTCACTTTAAAAAAAATGACGCAGTATATACATACATAAGTATTTGTATATGAATTAGTATTCCACTTGCAAATTGAGCAGTAGTGATCGAGCATTTCTTTAAATGAATGCAACGATATGACTGCTATAGTACGAGCAAAACGTAAATAATCAACAATGGTTACAATCACCAATTAAAACAATTTTCAAAAAATTGGCTTCAATTTTTAAAATAATAATAGAAATCGTTGTTATCACGGACAAAATGGACCGTAGAATAAGGTTATATATTAGTTTATAATAATCTCATTTGATAAGTATTTGTAATAATCTTACTTAATTTAACATGATGTTTGTATATGTCAAACACATATAAAATAATGAAAATGTAGTAAATTAATATAATTAAAGTATTCATCGTTGAATTTAAAATAATTATCACATTTAATATTTTATAGTAAAGAATGTTGAAG